TGCAGCTTTTAGTTTTTAATATTAATTTACAATATGGTCACCCAACACTTAACAATRGCCTCTACCTCAACAGGTAGAGTAGCTAAATGGCTGGCTCACTGCTGCCCACTAGTGGTCAGAGGCTGAACTACAACATAAAAATGAACGGCTGGCAGGAAAGTTGACATTTTGAACCTTAAAAAAGTCAATACAGGACTTTAGAATATCGATACAGTATCGGGAAATGAATTATCGCGATATTTCAGTGTATCGATATTTTCTTACACCCCTATGGTCGATATTGGCAAAAAATTAATCACGATTAATTGTGGTGTTTAGCTGATAATGATTAACTTGGCGATGATGCATGTATGTCCTGGTCTCATGACCAATTTAATTCAATTCAATTCAAAAATACTTTATTGATCCCAGAGGGAAATTAGGTAAATTAGTAAATTTAGTGGGAGAGATTTGCTCTTCATAAAAATCTTTTCCAAATTTTCAAAATTACAGACTTCGGGCTATACATCAAATTTTAAATTGTGTTGATAGATAAATCAGTTTCAGAATTAATTTTTTATGTTCGTCATATTTGAAGCAGAGAGGATCACCGACCAGACCGAACGGGGAAATCACCAGTCAATCTGCCTGGTGGCATTAATCGTATTAATCGTCAAGTGCCAAAAAATAATCGATCAATGTTTTTCTGACARTTAATTGTACAYGATACGATTATGCCCAACCCTAATTGATATTCATCTCCAATTGATTGGTTTTTGAAGCCAACCCATTGGGACAACAGTGGCGCAGTGAAAGGGCAGTCTGCTTGGGATAAGAAAGTGGCAGGTTTGATTCCCTTAATTGTTGTAGTGTTCTTGASCAAGACACCTGTATCCTGGGCATTTGGTGTCAAATTTCAGATTTTTGTCTTTGTTTGAACAATGTATAATGATGACAGTACATAGTGCTTAAATTCAAGATGGCTGCCACAGCTCACTTGAAAACAACAACAAAATTGTAGCAATAACAATACATTGAAAAGTTAAAAAGTTTAATTTCCTGATACTGTACTGTATTGGTTCTCAAAGCACTGTATCAATTTTTAATTAAGGGTTATATCACATTTTATACATGCAATGCATGGCGTGCTCTTTATGCTGAGATTTTTTTCAATGGCGATATATCGCCTTGCTTATATAATCGCAACATATCATGGCCCCTCTGTTGTAACATATCACCAAATCCTTGCCAATGCACAGCTTTTGTAGCAGAGCGTTTCTTTACAAAGCGCTACTCGTCTTAGAAGGTACTTGCTTTAAACATCAGCATTAATGGTTGATATTGTGCGAGGCTGCATTTAATGTTATTTTCAAGATTTGATCGAAATGGCTACGACTTTGTCTTTTTTTTTTTGTCTCGCACTAAAACACGCGGGAAGGGTAACCCGTTAGGGAAAAGGTCACTTGGAATCCGATTCATTTAGAAGAAAATTGCACACACTAGGGCTGTGTGTTGGCAAGAATTTGGATACGATACATATCGTAACAGAGGGGTCACGATACAATATATCCCTATATATTGCGATACTGTAAGCAAGGCAATATTTTGCGATATATTGCGATTTTTTTTTCTCCAAAAATTCTATTAAATAAAAACCTCTTACTGAAAAAACAAAAGGAAAGCTAATGTTTACTTCCAATACTAATGCTACCCTTACTCTCTGGCACTCAAGAGGTAGAGGAGCCAAATGGCTGGCTCACTGCTGCCAACTAGTGGACAGAGGCTGAACTATAACACAAAAATGAACGGCTGGCAAGAAGGTTGACATTTTAAACCTTAAT